AGCTCTGGGTTTAATTGACGGCGCAGCTGATGAACAAATAATGTTCCCACTGAGGCACGTAGAGAGAGCACACTGACCTCAACTAGCTAGTGTTGTTCCTTTTTGTTTTTTGTCTTCACTACTTCAGAACCAGAAGTAGTGAGTTTAAACTGCTGCCCATTAATGCTGCTGTATTGTTAATAGGATAATACGAGCACGGGGTCATTTTATCCTACCATTAGTACCCACAATGCTTTGTCTAATGTTGTCTTGTAAAGGTTGTGCAGAACTAGAAAAAAAAGTTAGTTGCAGTTGCATGCAGAGATGACTGTTTCTGTGTTGCTGCTTCATATGACGTCACCTGTGTGTAGTGTTTTAGGTACTCGGCTGCCCTTTAGTGAGGGTGTAGTTAAAGCCAGGGCCTTTCCAGGTTGCTGTTAATGATTAATGACTGTGTGAGTGACTGGTTAAAGACTATAAGGTAGTACAGCTTCTGGCACTGTGTGACCTTGCCCAGATTCCTGAAGTCTGAATGTCAGTGTCTGCTTCACTTTTCCTCCTGTGTTGAAGGTGTAAATGGTAAAATGGACTGTTTTTATATAGTGCATTTTTTCCACAGTGTGTTGCACTGGCCAAAGCGCTTTACAGGAGATGATACACTATTCACCCATTCACACACAGATGAAGACAGACTGCCACACAACGGTGCTAGTCAAGTCACCGGGAGCAGTTCGGGGTTCAGTGTCTTGCTCAGGAACACTTAGGCGTGCGGGGAGACCGGAAGTCAAACCACCAACTTGCTGGTCAGGAGACGACTGCCCTACCTCGTGAGCCACAGCCACAGCCACCCCCATGGTGTGTCCTTTTATCAGAGGGTGTTGACCGGAACTACTGCATATGTTTGAGATATTCTGTTATACAACATTTAATTGATGCCTGGCAGCTAAAAAAGTTAAACTGATTAGCACTTTTTAAAAATTCTTGTATTTATTTTAGTGGATTATGCTAAATCCTGCTTCAGGCTGAAAGGCCAGAGTTGCCACCACTTCTGTGACCAAACACTGATAGGACCTTCATGCTGCCATCATTTTATCAACAGAATTATTATAACTGATTGGAAAACACATGTTTCAGAATATAGATTATGGTTTTAAATCTTAAAAGACATGCAAACATAACTGAAGGTGTTTATATGCATTTAGACACTTAAACTATTCAACATGCTCCCTAATGCTTGTTATTCAGATTCTACTTTTATATCTGTGTGTCAACATGTGGGCTAACTCTCTGTGTTGGTGAGTCGCTGCCCTGCTTTCCTAAAATAAAACATGAGACATAGGAGGCCAAATCTGGCATTTGATTTTTCTTTTCTTTTTTTTTTGTGGCTGGTTTTTGCAGGTTGGGGCTGGCCAGGCATAAATGGGGAGTTTAAAGCCCATAATTCTAAACATATATGCAGATTTAGTTTGTTGTGGATGAATATGGATAAACTGGCAAATTATTTGAAGGCCTGAACTGTTTACTTCATTAAAAGGCTCATTGTGTGTAGAGTTCTTTTGTTGTTGTTAAACTGCACAAACAGGTTTATACTGAGATAAAATGTGTAAGAAGGTTCAGTATATTAACTGTACTGTAGGTATGTTTATCCACACAAATTATATTATGTTCCATCTAAAAATAAATAATTTTTAGTGCTACATCTGATGAGGTTATACTGAAGGTCTAAAAAAAGAGTTCAAACATCTGCTTTTATAATCTCACCAAGGGAAAGTCCTCCATAGTCCTAGACTCAGTGTCCAGGATATGACAAGTCTTAATCACTGGGATTTTGCCAAAGAAATAAACACTTCAGTTGGAGGCGCTGAGCATTTTTTTTTTTTTTTTATTATCAGCATCACAAGACGGAGAAGCCAGTGTAGCTGCAGTTTACCTTCTCATTATGACAGTTCACTAAAGCATTTGTGCACTGACAAATAAGTAAAAACAAATGTGCCAGCAAGGGTGCGCAGTTTGTACATCTCATGTTTGGGCTTAACTGTAATATGTAATGCTTCATTGCATTTCCTCATCGTGTTTAGGGAAAGTCAAACGTGTCATGTGACATGAACATGATTTTGGTTTGTGGAAGTGGACTTTATAGCAGCACATGCATCAAGCCTTTCACCTGATGATGGAGGTCCTATTTGCCACAAATGCAATGCATCATGCCTCCTGCAGCTGGATCTTTTTTCTAATACATAGACATACTGACAGTATGACACTAAGTGTTAAGAAATTGTGACTTTTTCTAAATCTGAATTTGTTCATGCAGCAAAACACTAGAAAATAGGATTCATTTGGACTATTTTGATGGATACTATAAAATAATAACACCAAACAATTGTAGTCTATACTGTATATGTTCTGCCCTGTTCAGAACTAATTAATTCTAAAACTGAAACAAGTTAAATGTGAAAACTGAACGTCACAATAGTACAGAAGAGACACAGAGGAAAATGAGGTGAGAGAGAGAGAGGGGTCTGCAGCCAGACCCAAAGTGTGGATGCCACCAATGTATATTTGTACACGGATGCCTGCTGAAACCACTCGCCTGTGTGGCATGCCTGCCAGATCATCTTTAAATTAAAAACTAATGAGTTACTAGTAGTTTCAGTTTTCATTTACAATAACTGAAGCTGTCAGATGTGCTGAAGCAACAGGGATGAATATCACGCTGTTATATAACTAGACCCTTGTTATCAGTGATTTTGTAAAATGTGTCCATACTGGATTATTTCCAGTATGTGTTCTGTAGTTGTTACCATGGTGTCTGTGTTTTTAATTAGCAGAAACATGAACTGTCTATACATGCAGTCATTTCCTTTATTTCAGCTGGCCTGCACATCAGATCAGCATACATGAGCCTCTGGACAGCAGAGCCTTATAGATACTGTATAAGAAAGAATCTACAATAAGGATAACATTAGTCATACTCTTTTGTAATTGTACATCTTATTCTCGACATGTTAGCGGTATTTGCACATTACAGATGAAGGTACGGTATAGTTTAAAGTCGAGTATGTTGACTGCCAAACATTGTCTAGTATCGAGGTATACAGGTGGTGAATGTGTGCTCCTCTTCATCAAATGTGTTGGTATCGGTTCACCTTCGTTTTGACAGACAGAAATGACATTGCACAGTCACTGGCAGTCAAAGTTTGACTGGCAGCAGGTTCATCTACTCAGCACCTGAAATGTGTTTCTACAAGCTAGATTTAAATTTTCAGATCTCTAATATATTGTACACTG